AAGTAGCTGGGATTACAGGTGCCTGCCACCACGCCCAGCTAATTTTTTTTTTATTTTTAGTAGAGATGGGGTTTCACCATGTTGGCCAGGCTAGTCTCGAACTCCTGACCTCGTGATCTGCCCACCTCAGCCTCCCAAAATGCTGGGATTACAGGCGTGAGCCACCATGCCTGACCCTCTTAAGCTGTTTTTCAATGACTATGTGGGATCAGATATTTTGACACAGATCCTAGAGAAATACTTCTCAGTGTCTCATACTGACTTGAGAATTAAGAAACTACTAATCTAAGATGTTTATAGGATCTCTAAGGGCCCCGCCTACTAGAAATACCTACTGGAAAACAGTAGGTATTCCATAAATATTGATTAATTAGGACCTCTACATTTCTGGGAGCCTGAATTTAATTCATGAATGTCTGTGGAAATTTTAAACTTTTAAAAAGCACATAAGACGTCACAAATATAAAAACTCAACAGTGACATAATTATATTGCAAGTATTTTAAGTCCCTGCTTAAATGTAATCCAATATACCTGGTCAGAACAAAAGACTTCCTTTATTTTAAAATTATAAACACAAATTGAGTGAATGAGTATTTTGCTTTATAGAAAATTCCTCTAAAACAGCTTTTATAGGTCTTAAAGTTTAAAAGTCTTAGTTTTAAGATGTATTTTTTACCTGCACATCTTCATTTGTATAGTCCTTATCTCAGTATCTGCCACCTTATTACTCAGTATTATTCTGACAGCACAGAGTTTGTTTAAATCTGGAAGTGTGATGAAGAACAGAGACTGCTGCCTAGAATCATTCATACTTTCTGACTGAGCGTCTCAGCAATCAGGCCTTTAAAAATAAATAGCAAAAAAAGGTAGTAAATTATTTTACCAATAGAGTTCCAATACCAAGTCAGCACACAATATTTTATATTGTTTTAGAATAGGATCATACAAACAAGTTAGTTTGCAAACTTTCAGCAGTTAAGTATCACTGCCATTTACCTTTAAGGTCTTCTAATGATTTTCTATGATTTTTGGTACAAGTTTTACTAAGATATAGTTCACATAACATAAAATTCACCCATTTAATGCATACAATTCAGTTTTTTACTGTATTCAGAGTTGTACAATCATCAGTGCAATAAATTTTAGAATATTTTAATCACTCCCTTTTCTATAACGATAATTATTTTTTAAAAGTCAAAATGTATAGCAAAGTATTTTGTTGTTTCAGATTTTTCTGTAAAGCACTTCAAGGTTGAGGAATATGTTATTTGTCATTGTACACGAAAGAAAATGTTTACTGAAGTCTCTAAATTATTACCTAGTTTTTGTTTCCACTAATTATCCAGCTTTCAAATTCTATTGGAGGCACAGTTTACAGTTAATAATTCACAAGGTATACCTTTGAAGTCTACATTACGTTTTACTACAGAAACAAAAACTAGAATATAAAAGTAAAGCAACCTAGTGAAGCATCAGTACTCTAACATGCACAAATACACTGGGGAAAAGTAAGCTGGACTCTAGTACTTTCAACTATTCAACATCAACATGTTTTTTCTTTTTAAGAAAGAATAACATACTGGCCCGGGAATGTGCAGTGTGACCAGCCTTCTGATCACAATACTGAAATGAGTTTGTGGTGTCATCTGAGGAATGCTGGCAATGCCCTTTGGCTCCAACACATCTGCCTCACTCTAGCATCACAGTGTTTGAAATTCTCATCACTAGAGAACCACTTGGTTCTTTTAAAAATAGAAGTAGTCTTACAAAGGTTAACACAAATTCACAGGAGGTGTTGATGAATTAAGATGATTCCTGGTATCATTAACAATAAAAATATTCCCTTTCTGATTTGACCTTTTGAAAAGTTAAAAAGAAAAAAAGTACAAAGTTCCAAGGTAAACACTGCTGACTTCACAATTTTAATTCTCTTCACCCGAGGTTTTTAAGTAGAGAGCATCAATAATGATCAGGTAAAATATGTGGCAAAAGGCTGATTACAGCTTAGGCCCAGGACAAATACATGTTTTT